TGTGGTTAAACTATAGATCCTCTAACTCACTGTATATCTTCTGAGGTGCTGTACCTTATTTTAGATTTTTATTTTTGTATTATTTTCAGGAACCCTCATATTATAGGCTTCAAAAATTCACAAATCCTGAAATATACTCTGCTAAGACTAACTCTATCAGAGTTCTAGATCATAAACACCACTTCACTTAGGACTCAGGACAGAATTATTCCCACTGATGTCTCCACAGTAATCATTGGAAATAAAAATCCAACCATATTAGTAGCACTGAAACTTGGGGATATGGGATATTCAAGTGGAGAGTTTGTATAAGGAGCTGAATATTTGCATCCAAAACACAGGGGAGAGAATTAGAGAGAATCATTTGTGAGCCATCCATACATGGATGAGATATAAGACCATGATATAGTATTAAATCACCAAAGGAGCATGTACAGATAGAGGAATCCAGGGACAGATACCTGGATCACTGCAGTGACAAAAAATCAGGGAGAAAAAGAATAACTACAAAAGAAGACCAAAGAGGATTAAAGAGTGAGTCTGAGGAACACCAAGGAAATGCAGTATCTTAGAAATGAAGAAAGAAACTTTTACAGAGGAGGACAAATGGGTGGTGAGAGGTTGTGCTTGTCAGCTTTTTTTGTGACTGTGACCAAAAGACCTGACAAGAACAACTTAGAGGTGGAAAAGTTTATTTTGGGCTCACAGTTTCAGGGGTTCAGTTCAGGGTCAGCTGACTCCATGGCTCTGTTCCCAAGGTAAGGCATACCATCATGGGAGAGGAGCCTGATAGCCAGGAACGAGGGAAGAAGTGAGAAGTCTAAGACAAAATAAATCACACCCCCTGTGACCTACCTCCTTCAGCCACACACCCCACCTGTCTACAGTTACCACTCAGCAAACCATTCAAATTATTAATCCAACAAATGGATTAATCCACTGATGATGCCACAGTTTGGTATTAAATCACCAAATTCTCTTCATTGCCTAGAAGTTAAATATCTCAATGTTGCAGTACTGGGGACTGTTTCCAAAACATGAGCTTGGGGGTGGGGCATATTTCTATATCCAGACCATAATAGAGGTGAAATAAGATAAGGACTGATGTGATCCTTGGATTTGGCCATGTTTACATTATTGTAAACTTCAATTAAGAGTAGTTTCAGTGGAGACATGGGGCTACAAGTCTAACTGGAATAGGGTTGTGAGACAATAAGAGAGGAATTAAAGACTGTTTGAAGGCCTCCTTTTGTTAGAGTGTGATATAAAGAAGACACATATTAGAACAGTATTTGAAGCATGAATTGGAGTCAAGAGAAGTTGTTTTTAAAAACATTAAGATTGGGGATATATTAATATCTCTTTAGCTAAGTAGAATAATTTTATGGAGAGAGATATTAAAGAGTGGAAGAGAGCATAATCCAAGTAAAGGCCGAGTATATTAGATACTAAGTGGGTTTAATTGCTATAAATGGGTAGATGTGTTGGCAGGGGTTGGTGAACTTCCTTTCTCTGTGCTTTTATTTTTTCAGTGAAAAATACATCAAAATTTTAAGTTTAAAGAATGGATAGGACAGGTGAAATTATAGGTTTGAGAAGGAAAGGTTAAAAATAGTCACTTAGAAATTTGAGAGAAAACCAGAGATATATCAAAATATTGTTAAAAAACATTAAATATTCACTGAAGCTTTGAGATTAAAAATATTGAGTGAGTGACATCAACCTGTATGTATTTTTCTCCTGGTTCATTCACTGTTGGTTGGGAAAAAGTGGAGAGTTGAATATAAACTGGTCTGTGATTTCAGTGAATGAGGACGATGAAGTGAGAAAGGAACAAGGGAGTTGAGGGAATATATATCATAGGAATATATATTTCAGTTATCATAGGAATTTAACTGATTAGGGAGGAAAGAAAGAATATGCAGTTTGGTGAGGGAAAGTAAAATGTGAGAGGACCTGTGAACTGGAAATCCTTGAGAAATCATGGGTAGGGTGAGGGAACAAAATAAAGAGCATTGAAAAGACAGGAGGCTATAATCAACAACAGTGGGATGCATGAAAATGAGGTTATAGATAAGTTTATTTTCTGATGCCTAGATCTAGGATCTGATCATGAGGATAAATATCTCAGGAGGGATTTCAAGACAAGATTACTAGAAGAGAGGCTAGGGTGTTGAAAGATCCATCTATGCAAACATTAAAATCACTAAAAAATAAGAGGGGAGTATAACTGAGAGAGTAATAGTATCTATCAACTAAAATTTAAAAATGAGAAAGATATGCCATTCCATCTCTATGATAATCATCCTCTCATTGTCTACTGGGTATATCCTCATCTACATTTCTTCAATTAGCACCCCTAATCTGAAAACCCAAAACATGAAATGCTCCAAAACCTGAAACATTTTGAGCACTGACAACACATTTCAAGTGTAAAGTTCCATGCCTGATCTCATGTGATGGGTCACAGTCAAAATGGGTACAAAGACACAGATAGGAGGAATAATTTCTATCATGCTGTTACCTAGGAAGGTGATTGTAGTTAGCAATATTGTATTATATAAATAAAAATAGTTTAAAGAGTGGATTTTTAATGCTTTTATCACAAAAAACTATAATTGTTTGAGATGATGGATAATCTAAACATCTTGAGATGATCATTACACAATGCATATCATTATCATTATAACCCACATATATATACAATTATTATCTGTCAATTAAAAATAACTTAAAAACACAGGTGTACTAATAATATTAATGTATTAAATTACCTTCAGGGTGTGTGTGTATGTGTATATGAATTTAGTAAGTTTCATGGTAAGACATGGATCCCACCCCAATATTTCTTATTATATATGTACACATATTCCAAAATCTGAGCCTATCTGAAATCTGAAACAACTCTGGTCCCAAGCATTTTGGATAATGAATATTCACCTATACTCAATTTATAAGCTACTAACCATGAACAAATACCATCTTTCTTTCACAATATCTAATGTTTGCATTGACAGATGTTCTTATCACTGCCCTACAGGCTACACTTAAAACAGATAACAGTTAGAATGACAATCAGATAAGACTCATTGTAACATTTATTTTCTATTTTCGTCCCTTCTTCAAATCTTTGATTCTATATAAAAAATTCATTCTTACTGCAAACTAGTATTTCTTCAATTAAATCCATTAAATCGTTATATTATATTGAAGTCTAATTTATATTTCACCCTCAAGTATTCTATTAAAAACCTTAGAACATTAACTGGCAATATTAACTGGAAATATGAAAAAATGATTAAATGCTAGACAGAATGATAAACTGTAGAAAAAAATTTAATATGGATTATTCCAGCTGTACTACTCAGTGATATATTAATTTCAGAAAATAGTGTTCTCTTGTGAAATTCACAATTATAATTAAATTTCTATAAGTTTATTTTTGCCCACAGATTTGAGCTCTAGTACTTCATAGGCATATTGAAGATATTCATGTATAAATTAATATTGGAATTATAGTATCTTCCTGTCATCTTAGGTTTATAAGATATCTGGCTACAGTACAGATACACAGCATTGTTCTGACTACAGTATTACCTGGAGCTAAGAGAAAGCCAACACTTCCCTTGAGCATTTGAAAAACCCATAAATAACATCGTCATATATATCTTCGCATTATAATTTCTACCCTTCCCTATACAGGCCCTTTGTTCTGTTCTCAATTTGAAACCTCTGATGCCTAATGATAATTCTAAAAGGTACCCTGGGGATGTTTTGCCATTGTCAATATTTACAAGCAGATATTACAGTAACATCCAATGTTTGTCAAATTGTGTTTCATGATTACCAAAGTGCAGAACTTTCCGAATCATTCAAATTGTGATGTAGCTTCTTTCATGAGCTTCACAGCAATATATTGAGTGCATGTATTTTACAGTAATTTTTCAACTGAAATAGTTCATTTAGTTTTTTTCTTTGGATTTAGCTGTGAATACATGAAGGCTGAGATAGAGACTTATTAGAAGAGCAAATATATGTCTACTGCCATGCATTCTTTCATTTAGGAACAGTTAAAATCTTCATAAATCCTCTCATACCCTAGGAAAAGCATATTTCGATAAGAAGTAACCTAGTTACTCATGAATATAGATTACATATAACAGAATTACTCCAAAGGTTTTCCATATACTCCTAGGCTCACTTGAATCCTGGGAAAAATGTTGGGTTAAAGCTGATAATTCTATTTTATTTTATTTTATTTTTTTAAATTTTTTATTGTTGGTTGTTCAAAACATTACATGGTTCTTGATATTATATACTCAAGAAATTTGAATAATCTGAGGCATATGTTTTGTTTTGTTTTTTGGTACTGTGGATTAATCTCTGGGGTAGTTTGCTACTAAGCTACATCCCTACTCTCTTTCACTTTTTATTTTAAGACAGGTCTTGCTAAGGTGTCCAGGCTGGCCTTGAACTTGTGATCATCCTGCCTCAGCCTCTCAAGTCACTGGGATTATGCATGCACCCAGGTGTGAAATTTTTTTCATATGTTATCTACATATAATAAAATATTTCCTTCATTAGAATTTTTCTCAAGATGTATATTTAGAATCGCCAAGTACAAATGTTCCAAATTAAATAGTATGGAAGACAGAGCAGGGTTGGATTAGTCAAAAAATTTACATTGACAATAGATCTTTAGAATATTTTCAATTTCCAAATATATCCAAGCTGTCTTATTAACAACAGAAGGTTCACCAGGTTTCTCTGACTGAGAGAAAAATAACTTAGAGCATCAGCTTCCGAAAGCAGAACCACTTTTTTTCAGAGCAACAAAAAGATCATCCTAGACAGAAGAGCCCATCATCTAAGAATCTCAGAAGCATGAGATTCATAGTTTATTTTTGCAAAAGTATAGCATAAATAAGACTTAATACAAAGACTTACAAGGATATTACAAAATTCCAAGGTTAGAACTATCCATAAATCAGGTCACTTACCAGATATCTCCTCTAGGCACTGCTTAGCAGTCTTACTATACAAGGAGTCCATCTTTGTAGGACTGGTACAGGAATCAGCAGATGGTGAAGAGGTACCTTCATTTTCTGAATGTGCTCTGAAATTAACCAAGACAGAAACAAACAGCAACTGTAGTCACAGTGACTCATCAAAGTGGAAGTTCTCCAGCACACAAGAAGAAATCAATTTATTATAAGTTTCCATCAAGGTAAGACAGACTAGCTTATGGTGAGATATTCCAGGGCTGTTTATCTGTATGAGAATTTTTCAACTTTTCACATACAACTAAACCAGGAATGAGGTGTTATATCAGCTTTTCTAAATTTGAAAGGTTGTAACCAACCACCAAGAGTTAATTACATTTATCAGGTAAAATACTTGGAAAGAGACGATTTTTTGTCTATTTTGTAGAAAATCAGGCCACATTATGTTTTATGAGAATAATAAAAGCATTGAAACAACACCTAAACTTTTTTCCCCAAGAAAATCCTACAACATATATCCCCAAATACAAAGGATGAATAAAAATGAAGAATTCATTGTGGCTACAAATATTATAAGGACTCAATTTCCAAAGATTTCAGAAGATTTAAAGTAAATCAGAAAAAAAATTTCTCATTCTTAGATCTTCTATTAGGTGTTTTCTATCTACATGCACCTGCATAGTGTGTGTTTATGTGTGTGGCTAACTTGTAAAGGTAGGTCTGATCAAATGGAAAGTACTCTACAGAGGGACAGCAGAACTTCTGATATTCTAAACTTACTTCTTGCAACCTTTTCCTGTTAAATGCAGGCAAACGTTCTAAGAAACTCTTCTTGATGTAGCTTCAAAAATCTACATATATTTGATCTCAACCACCACATCTTTAAAAAATTCAGAGCGTGAACTTCTAAGACACAGAAAGAGGCAAGGCAACACAGCACTGCAAGCTGCATGATGTGCTTTATAGACATCTGCTTACTCACAGTATTACTTCTAGCACAAGGTCTGGACCATGACAAGTTATTGCTGAATATTTATAACTTTAAAGATTTATAGAAATACTTTTATGTGAAAAAGTATCTTCTTAATAAATTTTAATAAATATGTTGCTTTTATTCTAAATCTTGGTTTTGAGGGGGAAAAACTCACAAATTGTAATCATTGATATCAGAAATAGTTCATATTTAACTGACAGATGAAGAACCTGAAATTTTCATGAAGTCTTAAGACATCATAGAAAACAAAATACTATATGGATGCATAGATATATCTGAGATGATACATAAAAGAATGACAGACCAAGAATTCCTATACACAGCTGTGCCTTGACCTCCAATAATTTCTGGCAGACTATTCATATTTATTTGGATTTAAAACTGAATATAATAAGTATAACAAATTTAAGTCAGAAGTTACAATATTCAAGCAACAGGACATACCATTAAGGCCAGCAAAGATCTCAGTGTTGTTAAACTCAACAAATATTTTTAGTCTTTTCCTTTCTTGATATCTTGTAGTATTTCAAGAAGCAGACAACTTGGCTCTTCAAGAAACTATCCTACCTTGACTTCTATGCCAGCATCCTTCACTTTGTTTCCCATTCTCTCTGGAGACTACATTTTTCCTTATTTACTTTCCCTTAGTGCTCTCTGAACTTACACTTTTCCAGTATTTTATACACTTGTAATATGAAATTAATATAATTGGCTACTGTTTATCTCTCAAATTAAGTTTTTCTTTGCTATGTTTAAGCTTTCCATTGCACTTGAAAGTCTAGTCCCATGTCTAAGATAGAAGTAGCTCTCAACAAATATTGATAAATGAGTGAATAAACCATATCAGTAGTGACAGTAAAACAGTATCATTGGAGGATGAAGAATAGAGAAGGAAAAGTTGCACAATGGTGTGTGCATGTGGGTTTAAAACTTGGCCCTATCCACTCTTGGTGGGGTTGTAAATTTGCACAACTATGGAAGTAAGTATGGGGGTTCCTCTGAAGACTAGGCATGAAATCACCACATGACCCAGCTATACTACTCCTCATATTTATCCTAAAGGATTAAAGTTATCCTCTATAGTGATATAGGCATACCCATAATTATAGCAGCACAATTCGCAATAGCCAAACTATGGACCAGGATAAGTGTCCAATGAACAATAAATGGATAAAGAAAACGGGATATATATACACAATGAGTTTTATTCCACCATAAAGAAAACTGAAATTATGTCTTTTGCAGGAAAATGAATGGAGCTTGAGAATATTGTATTAAGTGAAGTAAGCCAAATCCAGAGGTCAAGAGTCATATTTTTTTTATTCATATATGTGGAAGGTGGAGAGGAAAAACGTAAAGAAAGTTTGGGGAGTGTGTCTCATGAAAATAAAAGGGGAGATGAGTAGTACAGAGGAAAGGGACCAAGAAGTGGAAGGAGGGGAGGAAAAGGAGGAGTGCTGGGAAGTAATATTGATGAAGCTATACTGTTATATTGAATACAGGTACAAGGATGCAGCACAGACCCCACTATTATGTATGACTATAATGCACTAATAAAAAATGTGGAAAAAAACCAAGCTTGATGCCATCACTAAAGAGTTATTAATTCATATGATCTTGGCAAGTTACTTAGCTGCTCTGAGCTTTAGTTTGTTCACCTATAGAAATAGAGAAGTGCAAAGTCTTGAAAAATAATTGTGAAGTCAAATGTTATTATTATTAAGGGTCTAAAAAGTAACTGTCTTGAGGCATGTGGGGTTCTGGTCAATACCAAAACCAGGACCATATCTGGCTCTGAATAAAGAGAAAAAGTCCTCTGAGGTTTCTAAGGGTTTTTATTACTTGTTGAAGAAGTTTAAATGGAGAGTAAGTAGTGAGACTAGGGTCCCCAAGGAAAGCTGACAGGCTGCCTGCCAAGAAGTGTCACAAAGGCACCATGCCTTGGTGAGCTGGCTGTGAGCCAGCACTGGCCTATTGTCCAGCAGACTGCATATTCATGGATTCATCTCTCAGCGGCTGAGTTATATTAAATAGCTCCCTGAGATGGCTGTCTATAGCTCAGTTCTAATTGGTCCTATGACAGCTGCTGGTCCTAGGAGTTAGAATGCTTGTGGTCATGTGAGTTATAAAGATTCCCAGTATCTTCTTCTAGAATAATCTGTAAAGGAAGAAAGAATATTCAGAATGTGTTTTGGTAGTAGAAATTTTGCTTTACTCAAAACAGGTCTTAAATGGCATTCTTCAGGAGCTAAATTGTGGTTTATCATCCTTAATGTTTGAGATTTATTTATTCAGTTTCATTGGCTAAGACCCCATACCCATTAAGACACTCTTCTATAATGTGTTCATACTTCTGACTGCTCAGCATTGATGTGAAAGCCTTTCATTTTTCTAATGTGGCAGTACTTTTTGTCTCTGGTTGATTCACTCCTTACTGCTTTCTAGTCACAAGATAATCTTATTGTCAAGTTCTTTGGTTCATTTGGTTCATTTCCCATGGTAGTCCCCACATGAGTTATCTACATTACCAATGGAAACAGATTAGTCTTTGAAAGGAATAAAGAGAAGTTAAACTTAGAAGTCATAATTGGTTTATATTCACATGCAAGTGGGACCAGATATCTGGCCTATGCACATTACAGCCCTCCATTCCCGAAGTTATTTCCAATTCATAGTTTGATTAAGTAGAATTATATTTTAAATTCAGTCTATATATGGGCAGGCAGTACTAAGTGTGAAACATTTAACTTTTATTCAAATGACCAAAAAAGTTTACCTAAACCTCTGAAGAATCCTCAAGTATCACTTATTTTTATAACTGCCTCATAACAATAAAATATTTATTTGGGTTTATTTATGAAACAGTGTATAAAGACTTCAGAATCTGAAGCTATATTTTGATGTCAGAGCAACTATTACATTAGCATCATTCAGTATTCTCACATTGATATTTTCCTTATATTAAATGAAAAAATCAAAAATAAGTACTATGATAGTTAGCAGATGTTGTCCTATGTAGACTATCTTGACATGGTTGTCGTGCTATATAGGTACCTAATAAAACTATAAGATACACCATTGCATAAGTAATGTTTAATTTACTTAGAGGTTTAATAAGCTAGGCCCTTAGTACTAGAGGAGATTACTAAGAGCTGTAGTAATTAACAATCAACATTTCACCAATGATTAACCTAAAAGCTATGACCTGCTTTTGTGCACCTCTGGAAGATGCTTAACCCAGACTTGAACCAAGCTGACTATAAATTAAGATCTATTAAGCAGTAACCTATAGTTTTACACCATCTAAATACTCTGGGCACTGAGTATTTTCCTGTATTTGAGGTTTCCTTGGCACACAGACAGCTCAGTCACTAAGTCAATAACAGACAATACTGAATGTAACAAAGTCCATTGGTCTACCCTAAATTTTATTATTTACTTACTGGACATTTAAACAAACTTGATAATAAATCCTAGATACTATCAAATTTCTAATTTCATAAATATGGGTGTTTACATATAGATTTATATTAAAAATATGTAAATAATTATGTAAATGTGTTTGCATATATATTTAAATATATTGCTTAGTTTTTACTGCTTAGAAAGGTGCAGTGAGATTTTGATTTTATTTTTCATTTATTTGTTGTTTTAATATTTTTTTAAGATGTCGATAGATCTTTATTTTTTTATTTATAAGCAGTGCTGAGGATCAAACCCAGTGCCTCACACATGCTAGCAAGAGCTTTACCACTGAGCTACAACCTCAGCCGTGAGATTTTAGTTTTAAATACTACTCTCCACAGAAAGAAATCAGGGCTCCTTAAAAGCTGAAGTCAAGTTGTGGAAAGTACAAGATGAGTTTAGAACACTCTGAGCCATTAAAAAAAATAAAAAATAAATAAAGGAATTCTCAAAGAGTGGTAGAGAGAGTTTGTCAAGCCAGTTTGAAGGGCTTCCAGTATCAAGACTTTTTGAGGAGTACTGGAGATTGAACACAGGGACACTTAATGAATGAGCCACATCTCCAGCCCTTTTAATTTTTTATGTTGACATAGAATATCACTAAATTACTTAGGGTCCCACTAAGTTAATGAGGTTGGCTTTGAACTTGCAATT